GAATAATCATCATTTCTATCGAGTAACAAAGAGCTTCGATGGAAGACAAGAATAATCATCATTTCTATCGAGTAACAAAGAGCTTCGATGGAAGACAAGAATAATCATCATTTCTACCGAGTAACAAAGAGCTTCGATGGAAGACAAGAATAATCATCATTTCTATCGAGTAACAAAGAGCTTCGATGGAAGACAAGAATAATCATCATTTCTATCGAGTAACAAAGATGGAAGACAAGAATAATCATCATTTCGAGTAACAAAGAGCTTCGAAGGAAGACAAGAATAATCATCATTTCTATCGAGTAACAAAGAGCTTCGATGGAAGACAAGAATAATCATCATTTCTATCGAGTAACAAAGAGCTTCGATGGAAGACAAGAATAATCATCATTTCTATCGAGTAACAAAGAGCTTCGATGGAAGACAAGAATAATCATCATTTCTACCGAGTAAAGAGCTTCGATGGAAGACAAGAATAATCATCATTTCTATCGAGTAACAAAGAGCTTAGATGGAAGACAAGAATAATCATCATTTCAAAGAGCTATCGAGTAACAAAGAGCTTGATGGAAAGAATAATCATCATTTCATCCCAGAGAATAATCATCATTTCTACCGAATCATCAAGAATAATCATCATTTCTATCGAGTAACAAAGAAACGATGGAAGACAAGAATAATCATTTCTATCCGAGTAACAAAGAGCTTAGATGGAAGACAAGAATAATCATCATTTCTATCGAGTAACAAAGAGCTTCGATGGAAGACAAGAATAATCATCATTTCTATCGAGTAACAAGAGATGGAAGACAAGAATAATCATCATTTCTATCGAGTAACAAAGACAATGGAAGACAAGAATCATCATCATTTCTATCGAGTAACAAAGAGCTTCGATGGAAGACAAGAATAATCATCATTTCTATCGAGTAACAAAGAGCTTAGATGGAAGACAAGAATAATCATCATTTTATCGAGTAACAAAAGAGCTTCGATGGAAGACAAGAATAATCATCATTTTACTATCGAGTAACAAAGAGCTATCGATGGAAGACAAGAATAATCATCATTTCTATCGAGTAACAAAGAGCTTCGATGAAGACAAGAATAATCATCATTTCTATCGAGTAACAAAGAGCTTAGATGGAAGACAAGAATAATCATCATTTCATCGAGTAACAAAGAGCTTCGATGAAGACAAGAATAATCATCATTTCTATCGAGTAACAAAGAGCTTCGATGGAAGACAAGAATAATCATCATTTCTATCGAGTAACAAAGAGCTTCGATGGAAGACAAGAATAATCATCATTTCTATCGAGTAACAAAGAGCTTTCGATGGAAGACAAGAATAATCATCATTTCTATCGAGTACAAAGAGCTTCGATGGAAGACAAGAATAATCATCATTTCTATCGAGTAACAAAGAGCTTCGATGGAAGACAAAGAATAATCATCATTTTTATCGAGTAACAAAAGAGCTTCGATGAAGACAAGAATAAATCATCATTTCTACCGAGTAACAAAGAGCTTCGATGGAAGACAAGAATAATCATCATTTCTATCGAGTAACAAAGAGCTTAGATGGAAGACAAGAATAATCATCATTTCTATCGAGTAACAAAGAGCTTCGATGGAAGACAAGAATAATCATCATTTCTATCGAGTAACAAAGAGCTTCGATGGAAGACAAGAATAATCATCATTTCTACCGAGTAACAAAGAGCTTAGATGGAAGACAAGAATAATCATCATTTCTACTGAGTAACAAAAGAGCTTCGATGGAAGACAAGAATAATCATCTACCGTTCTAAGAGCTTCGAGTAACAAAGAGCTTCGATAACAAAGGAAGACAAGAATAATCATCATTTCTACCGAGTAACAAAGAATCATCATTTCTATCGATGGAAGATGGAAGAATAATCATCATTTCTACCGAGTAACAAAGAGCTTCCGATGGAAGACAAGAATAATCATCATTCTACCGAAGTAACAAAGAGCTTCCAAGAATAATCATCGAGTAACAAAGAGCTTCGATGGAAGACAAGAATAATCATCATTTCTATCGAGTAACAAAGAGCTTGATGGAAGACAAGAATAATCATCATTTCTATCGAGTAACAAGCTTAGATGGAAGACAAAGAATAATCATCATTTCTATCGAGTAACAAAGAGCTTCGAAGACAAGAATAATCATCATTTCTACCGAGTAACAAAGAGCTTCATTTCTATCGATGGAAGACAAGAATAATCATCATTTCTATCGAGTAACAAAGAGCTTAATGGAAGACAAGAATAATCATCATTTCGAGTAACAAAAGAACTTCGATGGAAGACAAGAATAATCATCATTTCTATCGAGTAACAAAGAGCTTAGATGGAAGACAAGAATAATCATCATTTCTACTATCAGTAACAAAGAGCTTGATGGAAGACAAGAATAATCATCATTTCTATCGAGTAACAAAGAGCTTCGATGGAAGACAAGAATAATCATCATTTCTATCGAGTAAAAAAAAACAAAGAGCTTGATGGAAGACAAGAATAATCATCATTTCTACCGAGTAACAAAGAGCTTCGATGGAAGACAAGAATAATCATCATTTCTATCGAGTAACAAAGAGCTTCGATGGAAGACAAGAATAATCATCATTTCTACCGAGTAACAAAGAGCTTAGATGGAAGACAAGAATAATCATCATTTCTATCGAGTAACAAAGAGCTTCGATGGAAGACAAGAATAATCATCATTTCTATCAAGAGACAAAGAGCTTCGATGGAAGACAAGAATAATTCATTTCTATCGATGGAAGAGAAGAATAATCATCATTTCTACCGAGTAACAAAGAGCTTAGATGGAAGACAAGAATAATCATCATTTCTATCGAGTAACAAAGAGCTTCGATGGAAGACAAGAATAATCATCATTTCTATCGAGTAACAAAGAGCTTAGATGGAAGACAAGAATAATCATCATTTCTACCGAGAAACAAAGAGCTTCGATGGAAGACAAGAATAATCATCATTTCTATGGAGTAACAAAGAGCTTGAAAGAGAATAATCTTAACAAAGAACTTCGATGGAAGACAAGAATAATCATCATTTTCTATCGAGTAACAAAGAGCTTAGATGGAAGACAAGAATAATCATCATTTCTATCGAGTAACAAAGAGCTTAGATGGAAGACAAGAATAATCATCATTTTTCTATCGAGTAACAAAAAGAGCTTAGATGGAAGACAAGAATAATCATCATTTCTATCGAGTAACAAAGAGCTTCGATGGAAGACAAGAATAATCATCATTTCTATCGAGTAACAAAGAGCTTCGATGGAAGACAAGAATAATCATCATTTCTATCGGTAACAAAGAGCTTCGATGGAAGACAAGAATAATCATCATTTATCGAGTAACAAAGAGCTTCGGAAATCAAGACATGGAAGACATAATATCATCATTTCTATCGAGTAACAAAGAGCTTCGATGGAAGACAAGAATAATCATCATTTTATCGAGTAACAAAGAGCTTCGATGGAAGACAAGAATAATCATCATTTCTATCGAGTAACAAAGAGCTTCGATGGAAGACAAATAATCATCATTTACTATCCGGTAACAAAGAACTTCCGATGGAAGACAAGAATAATCATCATTTCTACCGAGTAACAAGAGCTTCGATGGAAGACAAGAATAATCATCATTTCTATCGAGTAACAAAGAGAAGGAAGATGGAACAAGACAAGAATAATCATCATTTCTATCGAGTAACAAAACTTCGATGGAAGACAAGAATAATCATCATTTCTATCGAGTAAAAAGCTTCGATGGAAGACAAGAATAATCATCATTTCTACCGAGTAACAAAAGATGGAAGACAAGAATAATCATCATTTCTATCGAGTAACAAAGAGCTTAGATGGAAGACAAGAATAATCATCATTTCTACCAAGAACAAAAGAGCTTAGATGGAAGACAAGAATAATCATCATTTCTATCGAGTAACAAAGAGCTTGATGGAAGACAAGAATAATCATCATTTCTAAAGAGCTCGAGTAACAAGAATAATCATCGCTTACCGATGGAAGGAAGAAAAGAATAATCATCATTTCTACCGAGTAACAAAGAACTTCGATGGAAGACAAGAATAATCATCATTTCTACCGAGTAACAAAGAGCTTCGATGGAAGACAAGAATAATCATCATTTCTACCAAGTAACAAAAGAACAAAGAGCTTCGATGGAAGACAAGAATAATCATCATTTTCTATCGAAGTAACAAAGAGCTTCGATGGAAGACAAGAATAATCATCATTTCTACCGATCAACAAAGAGCTTCGATGGAAGACAAGAATAATCATCATTTCTATCGAGTAACAAAGAGCTTCGATGGAAGACAAGAATAATCATCATTTCTATCGAGTAACAAAGAACTGATGGAAGACAAGAATAATCATCATTTCTACCGAGAACAAGAGCTTCGATGGAAGACAAGAATAATCATCATTTCTATCAAGTAACAAAACAAAGCTTCGATGGAAGACAAGAATAATCATCATTTCTATCAAGTAACAAAGAGCTTCGATGGAAGACAAGAATAATCATCATTTCTATCGAGTAACAAAGAGCTTCGATGGAAGACAGAATAATCATCATTTCTATCCAGTAACAAGAGCTTCGATGGAAGACAAGAATAATCATCATTTCTACCAAGTAACAAGAGCTTCGGGAAGACAAGAATAATCATCATTTCTATCGAGTAACAAAGAAGAAGACAAGAATAATCATAATTTCTATCGGAACAAAACTGGCATGGAAGAATAATCATCATTTCTGCCGAGTAACAAAAGAGCTTAGATGGAAGACAAGAATAATCATCATTTCTATCGAGTAACAAAGAGCTTCGATGGAAGACAAGAATAATCATCATTTCTATCGAGTAACAAAAGAGCTTCGATGGAAGACAAGAATAATCATCATTTCTACCGAGTAACAAAGAGCTTAGATGGAAGACAAAGAATAATCATCATTTCTACCGAGTAACAAAGAGATTCGATGGAAGACAAGAATAATCATCATTTCTACCGAGTAAAAAGAGCTTCGATGGAAGACAAGAATAATCATCATTTCTACCGAGTAACAAAAGAGCTTCGATGGAAGACAAGAATAATCATCATTTCTACCGGTAACAAAGAACTTCGATGGAAGACAAGAATAATCATCATTTCTACCGAACAAAAAAGCTTCGATGGAAGACAAGAATAATCATCATTTCTACCGAGTAACAAAAGAGCTTCGATGGAAGACAAGAATAATCATCATTTCTATCGAGTAAATAAAGAGCTTCGATGGAAGACAAGAATAATCATCATTTCTATGGAGTAACAAGAGCTGGAAAAGACAAGAATAATCATCATTTCTATCGGTAACAAAGAGCTTCGATGGAGACAAGAATAATCATCATTTCTACCGAGTAACAAAGAGCTTCGATGGAAGACAAGAATAATCATCATTTCTACCAAGTAACAAAAAGAGCTTCGATGGAAGACAAGAATAATCATCATTTCTACCGAGTAACAAAGAGCTTCGATGGAAGACAAGAATAATCATCATTTATCGAGTAACAAAGAGCTTCGATGGAAGACAAGAATAATGTCATTTCTACCGAAACAGTAACAACAAGAACTTCGATGGATGAAGACAAGAATAATCATCATTTCTACCGAGTAAAAAAGAGCCGGATGGAAGACAGAGAAAATCATCATTTTATCGATCGGTAACAAAGACAACACCAATACTTCTAACAGAACAAAGAACTGATGGAAGACAAGAATAATCATCATTTCACTGAGTAACAAAGAGCTTAGATGAAAGACAAGAATAATCATCCATTTCACTCGAGTAACAAAGAGATTCGATGAAGACAAGAATAATCATCATTTCTATCCCGCAACAAAGAGCTTCGATGGAAGACAAGAATATCATCATTTCTAGCAGAACAAGACAAGAAAATAATCATCATTTCTATCAAGGTAACAACTTCGATGCAGATAAGAATAATCATTTTACGATGGACAGACAAAGAATAATCCATCATTTCTACCAAGTAACAAAGAGCTTCGATGGAAGAAAGAATAATCATCATTTACCAAGTAACAAAGAGCTTGATGGAAGACAAGAATAACCATCATTTTCTACCGAGTAACAAAGAGCTTCGATGAAGACAAGAATAATCATCATTTCTACCGAGTAAATAAAGAGCCTGATGGAAGACAAGAATAACTTCATCATTTCTACCGAGTAACAAAGAGCTTCGATGGAAGACAAGAATAATCATCATTTCTATCGAGTAACAAAAGAGCTTGATGGAAGACAAAGAATAATCATCATTTCTATCGAGTAACAAAGAGCTTAGATGGAAGACAAGAATAATCATCATTTTCTATCGAGTAACAAAGAGCTTAGATGGAAGACAAGAATAATCATCATTTCTATCGAGTAACAAAAGAGCCTGATGGAAGACAAGAATAATCATCATTTCTACCGAGTAACAAAAGAACTTCGATGGAAGACAAGAATAATCATCATTTCTACCGAGTAACAAAGAACTTAGATGGAAGACAAGAATAATCATCATTTCTACCGAGAAACAAAGAGCTTTCAAGAATAATCATCATTTTCTACAAGAGAACAAAAGAGCTTCGATGGAAGACAAGAATAATCATCATTTCTATCAAGAGTAACAAAATAATCATCTATGGAAGACAAGAGAATAATCATCATTTCTATCGAGTAACAAGAGCTTAGATGGAAGACAAGAATAATCATCACTTATATGATAACAAGCTTCGAGGAAGACAAGAATAATCATCATTTCTTATCGAGTAACAAAGAGCTTGATGGAAGACAAACAAGAATATGGAAAGACATCATTTCTATCGAGTAACAAAGAGCTTCGATGGAAGACAAGAAGATTCATCATTTCTATCGAGTAACAAAGAGCCTGATGGAAGACAAGAATAATCATAATTTCTACAGAGTAACAAAGAGCCGATGGAAGACAAGAATAATCATCATTTCTATCGAGTAACAAAGAACAATGGAAGACAAGTATAATCATCATTTCTACCGAGTAAAAAAGAGCTTAGATGGAAGACAAGAATAATCATCATTTCTATCGAGTAACAAAAGAGCTTGATGGAAGACAAGAATAATCATCATTTCTATCGAGTAACAAAGAGCTTCGATGGAAGACAAAGAATAATCATCATTTCTACCCCGGTAACAAAGAGCTAGATGGAAGACAAGAATAATCATCATTTCTATCGAGTAACAAAGAGCTTCGATGGAAGACAAGAATAATCATCATTTTTACCCGGTAACAAAGAGCTTCGATGGAAGACAAGAATAATCATCATTTCGATGGAAGACAAGAATAACAAAGAACAAGAACGATGGAAGACAAGAATAATCATCATTTCTACCGAGTAACAAAAGAGCTTCGATGGAAGACAAGAATAATCATCGGCTCGAGGAAACAAGAATAATACATCGTTTCTACCAAGTAACAAAAGAGCTGATGGAAGACAAGAATAATCATCATTTCTACCGAGCAACAAAGAGCTTCGATGGAAGACAAGAATAATCATCATTTCTACCGAGCAACAAAAGAGCTTCGATGGAAGACAAGAATAATCATCATTTTTATCGGTAACAAAGAGCTTAGATGGAGACAAGAATAATCATCATTTTCTACCGAAGTAACAAAGAGCCTTCCATGGAAGACAAGAATAATCATCACTTTCCACCGAGTAACAAAGAGTAAAGACAAGAAGAATCATCATTTCAGTCGGGCAACAAAGAGCAGAATAATCATCGTTTCTACCGAGTAACAAAGAGCTCGATGGAAGACAAGAATAATCATCATTTCTACCGAGTAACAAAAGAGCTTCGATGGACACAAGAAAATCATCATTTATATCCAGTAACGAAAGCTTCGATGAAAGACAAGAATAATCATCATTTCTATCGAGTAACAAAGACCGATGGAAGACAAGAATAATCATCATTTCTATCGAGTAACAAAGAGCTTCCGATGGAAGACAAGAATAATCATCATTTCTATCAGGTAACAAAGATTGATGGAAGACAAGAATAATCATCATTTCTATCGAGTAACAAAGAGCCGATGGAAGACAGGGCAATCATCGTTTCTATCGAGTAACAAAGAGCTTCGATGGAAGACAAGAATAACTTTCATCATTTCTCAGGTAACAAAGAGCTTGAATGGAAGACAAGAATAATCCATCATTTCTGTCCGAGTAACAAAGAGCTTCGATGGAAGACAAGAATAATCATCATTTCTATCGAGTAACAAAAGAGCTTCGATGGAAGACAAGATAATCATCATTTCTATCGAGTAACAAAGAAACTGATGGAAGAAAGAATAATCTGTCATTTCCTATCGAGTAACAAAGAGCTTCGATGGAAGACAAGAATAATCATCATTTCCTATCGAGTAACAAAGAGCTTCGATGGAAGACCAAGAATAATCATCGCTTCTATCGAGGAACAAAGAACTGTAACAAAAGAGTCGATGGAAGACAGAATAATCATCATTTTCTATCGAGTAACAAAGAGCTTAGATGGAAGACAGAATATCATCATTTCTACCGAGTAACAAAGAGCTCGATGAAGACAAGAATAATCATCATTTCTATGGAGTAAGTAAAAAGAGCTTTAGATGGAAGACAAGAATAATCATCATTTTATCGAGTAACAAAGAAGCTTGGATGGAAGACAAGAATAATCATCATTTCTAATGAGTAACAAAGAGCTTCGATGGAAGACAAGAACAATCATCATTTCTATCGAGTAACAAAAGAACTTCGATGGAAGACAAGAATAATCATCCCATTTCTATCAGAGTAACAAAGAGCTTGATGAAGACAAAATTCATAATTCTCTATCAAGTAACAAAGAGCTTCAAGAATGTTTCACTAAGAACAAGAGCCAAGAAATAATCATCATTTCTACCGAGTAACAAAGAGTTTCGATGGAAGACAAGAATAATCATCATTTTATCGAGTAACAAAGACTTTAGATGGAAGAACAAGAATAATTTCTATCATTTCTATCGAGTAACAGAAGAGCGATGGAAACAAGAATAATCATCATTTCTACCGATGGAAGACAAGAATAATCATCATTTCTATCGAGTAACAAAGAGCTTCGATGGAAGACAAGAATAATCATCATTTCTATCGAGTAACAAAGAGCTTCGAAGACAAGAATAATCATCATTTCTATCGAGTAACAAAGAGCTTAGATGGAAGAAAGAATAATCATCATTTCTACCAAGTAAATAAAAGAGCTTCGATGGAAGACAAATAATAATCATCATTTCTATCGAGTAACAAGAGCTTCATGGAAAGACAAGAATAATCATCATTTCTATCGAGTAACAAAGAGCTTAGATGAAGACAAGAATAATCATCATTTCTACCAAGTAAACAAAGAACTTGATGGAAGACAAGAATAATCAAGAATCATCACTTTTCACTGAGAAACCAAGAGATTCGATGGAAGACAACAAGAATAATCATCATTTCTATGGAGTAACAAAAGAGCTTCGATGGAAGACAAGAATATCATCATTTCTATCGAGTAACAAAGAGCTTCGATGGAAGACAAGAATAATCATCATTTCTATCAGTAACAAAGAACTTCGAAGGAAGACAAGAATAATCATCATTTCTATCGAGTAACAAAGAGTTTGATGAAGATGTTAATAATCATCATTTTCTACCAAGTAACAAAGAGCTTCGATGGAAGACAAGAATAATTATCATTTCTAAATCATGGAAGATAACAAAGAGCAAAGAGCGATGGAAGACAAGAATAATCATCATTTCTACCGAGTAACAAAGAGCTTCGATGGAAGACAAGAATAATCATCATTCACCGAGTAAAAGAGCCGATGGAAGAACAAGAAAATCATCATTTCTATCGGTAACAAAACCGATGAAGACAGAATAATCATCATTTCATCAGGTAACAAGAAGCTTCGTGGAAGACAGAATAATCATCCATTTCTGTCGAGTAACAAGAGCTTCGATGGAAGGCAAGAATAATCATCATTTCTATCCCGGTAACAAGAGCTTCGATGGAAGCAGAATATCATCATTTCTATCAGTAACAAGAACTGATGGGCAAAATAATCATCATTTCTATCGGTAACAAAAAGAGCTTCGATGGAAATTAAGAATAATCATCATTTTATCAAAAAAGAGCTTCGATGGAAGACAAGAATAATCATCATTTCTGTGAAACAAAGAGCTTCGATGGAAGACAAGAATAATCATATTTCTACCGAGTAACAAAAAGAACTTCGATGGAAGACAAGAATAATCATCATTTCTATCGAGTAACAAAAAGCTTAATGGAAGACAAGAATAATCATCATTTTTACCGAGTAACAAAGAGAGCTTCGATGGAAGACAAGAATAATCATCGTTTCTACCAAGAGTAACAAAATAATCATCTTTCACCGAGTATGGAAGACAAGAATAATCATCATTTCTATCAAGTAACAAAGAACTTCGATGAAAGACAAGAATAATCATCATTTCTATCGAGTAACAAAAGAGCTTCGATGGAAGACAAGAATAATCATCATTTCTACCGAGTAACAAAGAGCTTCGATGAAGACAAGAATAATCATCATTTCTATCGAGTAACAAGAGCTTCGATGGAAGAAAAATAATCATCATTTCTATCAGTAACAAAGAGCTTAGATGGAAGACAAGAATAATCATCATTTCTATCCGGTAACAAAGACTTCTATGAAGACAAAGAATAATCATCATTTCTATCGAGTAACAAAGAGCTTCGATGGAAGACAAGAATAATCATCATTTCTACCGGTAACAAAAGAGCTTCCGATGGAAGACAAGAATAATCATCATTTTCTATCGAGTAACAAAAAGAGCTTCGAAAGAACATTTCTGCAAAAAAGAGCTTCGATGGAAGACAAGAATAATCATCATTTCTATCGAGTAACAAAGAGCTTCGATGGAAGACAAGAATAATCATCATTTCTATCGAGTAACAAAGAACTTCGATGGGAAGATAATCATCATTTCTACCAAGTAACAAAGAGCTTAGATGGATAACAAGAGCTTCGAAGACAAGAATAATCATCATTTCGAGTAACAAAAGAGCTTCGATGGAAGACAAGAATAATCAAAAGTAAAAAAAGAGCTTCGATGGAAGACAAGAATAATCATCATTTCTATCGAGTAACAAAGAGCTTAGATGGAAGACAAGAATAATCATCATTTCTACCGGTAACAAGAACTTCGATGGAAGACAAGAATAATCATCATTTCTATCCAGTAACAAAGAGCTTAGATGGAAGACAAGAATAATCATCATTTCTATCGGTAACAAAAGAGCTTCGATGGAAGACAGAATAATCATCATTTCTACCGAGTAACAAGAATAAGACAAGAATCATCATCATTTCTACCGAGTAACAAAGAGCTTCGATGGAAGACAAGAATAATCATCATTTCTAATAACAAAAAACTTCGATGGAAGACAAGAATTCATCATTTCTATCGAGTAACAAAGAGCTTCGATGGAAGACAAGAATAATCATCATTTCTACCGATAACAAAAAAGAGAAAGACAAGAATAATATCATTTCTATCGAGTAACAAAGAGCTTAGATGGAAGACAAGAATAATCATCATTTTCTACCAAACAAAGAGCTTCGATGGAAGACAAGAATAATGTCATTTCTGCAGGAACAAAGAGCTTCGATGGAAGACAAGAATAATCATCATTTCTATGAGTAAAAAAAACTAGATGAAGACAAGAATAATCATCCCATTTCTAAGTAAACAAAGACAAAAATAATCATCATTTCTATCGAGTAACAAAACAAGATGGAAGACAAGAATAATCATCATTTCTATCAAGTAACAAAGAGCCTGATGGAAGACAAGAATAATCATCATTTCTATCGAGCTTCGATGGAAGAAAGAACCAATCATCATTTTCTATGAGTAACAAAGAACTTCGATGGAAGACAAGAATAATCATCATTTCTACCGAGTAACAAAGAAATTTCGATGGAAGACAAGAATAATCATCATTTCTATCGAGTAACAAAAAGAGCTTAGATGAAGACAAGAATAATCATCATTTCTACCGAGTAACAAAAAAGCTTCCGATGGAAGACAAGAATAATCATCATTTCTAGCAACAAAAGAGCTTCGATGGAAGACAAGAATAATCATCATTTCTACCGAGTAACAAAAAGCTTCGATGGAAGACAAGAATAATCATCATTCTACCGAGTAACAAAAGAGCTTAGATGGAAGACAAGAATAATCATCATTTCTATCGAGTAACAAAAAGCTTCGATGGAAGACAAGAATAATCATCATTTCTACCAAGTAACAAAAGAGCTTCGATGGAAGACAAGAATAATCATCATTTCTACCGAGTAACAAAAGAGCTTAGATGGAAGACAAGAATAATCATCATTTCTGCTAACAAAAGAGCTTCGAGTAACAAGACAAGAATAATCATCATTTCTATCGAGTAACAAAGAACTTCGATGGAAGACAAGAATAATCATCATTTCTATCGAGTAACAAGAGCTTCGATGGAAGACAAGAATAATCATCATTTTCTATCGAGTAACAAAGATTTTCGATGGAAGACAAGAATAATCATCATTCTATCGAGTAACAAAGAGCTTCCCGATGGAAGACAAGAATAATCATCGACTTCTATCGGTAACAAAGAAACTGGATGAAGACAAGAATAAATCATCATTTCTACCGAGTGAAAAAGAGCTTCGATGGAAGACAAGAATAATCACTATTTTATCGAGTAAAAAAGAGCTTCGATGGAAGACAAAAATAATCATCATTTCTGTCGAGTAACAAAGAGCCTGATGGAAGACAAAAATAATCATCATTTCTATCGAGTAACAAAGAGCTTAGATGGAAGACAAGAATAATCATCATTTCTACCGGTAACAAAGAGCTTCTGGAAGACAGAATGATGGAAGACAAGAATAATCATCATTTCTACTGAGTAACAAGAACTTCCGATGGAAGACAAGAATAATCAGCTGTTCTATCGAGTAACAAACTGATGGAAGACAAGAATAATCATCATTTCTACCGAGTAACAAAAATGAACAAGAATAATCTCATCATTTCTATGGAGTAACAAAAAGAGCTTAGATGAAGACAAGAATAAATCATCATTTCTACCAAGTAACAAAGAGGCCCAGATGGAAGACAAGAATAATCATCATTTCTATCGAGTAACAAAGAGCTTAGATGGAAGACAAGAATAATCATCATTTCTACCGAGTAACAAAAGAGCTTAGATGGAAGACAAGAACAATCATCATTTCTATCGAGTAACAAAGAGCCTCGATGGAAGACAAGAATAATCATCATTTTCTATCGAGTAACAAAGAGCTTAGATGGAAGACAAGAATAATCATCATTTCTATCGAGTAACAAAGAGCTTAGATGGAAGACAAGAATAATCATCATTTCTACAGTAACAAAGAGCTCGATGGAAGACAAGAATAATCATCATTTCTATCGAGTAACAAAAGAGCTGATGGAAGACAAGAATAATCATCATTTCATCGAGTAACAAAGAACTTCGATCGAAGACAAGAATAATCATCATTTACCGGCAAACAAAGAGCGATGGAAGACAAGAATAATCATCATTTCTATCCGAGAAACAAAGAGCTTCGATGGAAGACAAGAATAATCATCATTTCTGTCAGAACAAAGAGCCGATGGAAGACAAGAATAAATAATTTCTAAGAACAAAGCTTAGATGGAAGACAAGAATAATCATCATTTCTATCGAGTAACAAAAGAGCTTAGATGAAGACAAGAATAATCATCATTTCTATCGAGTAACAAAAGAGCTTCGATGGAAGACAAGAATAATCATCATTTCTATCGAGTAACAAAGAGCTTAGATGGAAGACAAGAATAATCATCATTTTCTATCGAGTAACAAAGAGTCGATGGAAGACAAGAATAATCATCATTTTTATACCGAGTAAACAAAGAGCTTCGATGGAAGACAAGAATAATCATCATTTCTACCAAGTAACAAAGAGCTTCGATGGAAGACAAGAATAATCATCATTCTATCGAAGTAACAAAAAGAGTTACAAAGAGATGGAAGACAAGAATAATCATTTCTACTGAGTAACAAAGAGCTTGATGGAAGACAAGAAATAATCATCATTTCTATCGAGGTAAATAAAGAGCTTCGATGGAAGACAAGAATAATCATTTTCTACCGAGTAACAAAGAACCTGATGGAAGACAAGAATAATCATCATTTTACCCCGAGTAACAAAAGAGCTTCGATGGAAGACAAGAATAATCATCATTTCTACCGAGTAACAAAAGAGCTTAGATGGAAGACAAGAATAATCATCATTTCTACCAGTAACAAAGAACTTCCGATGGAAGACAAGAATAATCATCATTTCTACCGAGTAAATAAGAGCTTCGATGGAAGACAAGAATAATCATCATTTTTTTCTACCAGAATAAAGAACTTGATGAAGACAAGAATAATCATCGTTTCTTACCAAGTAACAAAGAGCTTCGATGGAAGACAAGAATAATCATCATTTCTACCGAGTAACAAAGATGGAAGACTAATCGATGGAAGACAAGAATAATCATCATTTCTACTGAGTAACAAAAGAACTTCGATGTAACAAAAGAGCTTCGATGGAAGACAAGAATAATCATCATTTCTACTAAGTAACAAAAGAGAATAAATTCACTCGATGGAAGACAAGAATAATCATCATTTCTACTGAGTAACAAAGAGCTTCGACAAAGACAAGAATAATCATCATTTCTATCAGAGTAACAAGAGCTTGAAGGAAGACAAGAATAATCATCATTTCTATCGAGTAACAAAAGAGCTTCGATGGAAGACAAGAATAATCATCATTTCTATCGAGTAACAAGAACTTGATGGAAGACAAGAATAATCATCATTTCTATCGAGTAACAAAGAGCTCGATGGAAGACAAGAATAATCATCATTTCTATCGAGTAACAAAGAGCTTCGATGGAAGACAAGAATAATCATCATTTTCTATCGAGTAACAAAAGAGCTTCGATGGAAGACAAGAATAATCATCATTTCTACCGAACAAAGAAAGTACCGAGAAGAACAAGCATTTCGACTGGAAGACAAGAAGCAATCATCATTTCTGTCGAGTAACAAAGAGCTTCGATGGAAGACAAGAATAATCATCATTTATCGAGTAACAAAAGAGCTTCGATGGAAGACAAGAATAATCATCATTTCTATCGAGTAACAAAGAGCTTCAGATGGAAGAGAAGAATAATCACCATTTCTATCGAGTAACAAAGAGCTTAGATGGAAGACAAGAATAATCATCATTTCTACCGAGAACAAAAGAGCTTCGATGGAAGACAAGAATAATCATCATTTCTATGGAGTAACAAAGAGCTTAGATGGAAGACAAGAATAATCATCATTTCTATCGAGTAACAAAGAGCTTAGATGGAAGACAAGAATAATCATCATTTCTATCAGTAAACAAAAGAACTTGATGGAAGACAAGAATAATCATCATTTACCGAGTAACAAAGAACTTAGATGGAAGACAAGAATAATCATCATTTCTATCGAGAAACAAAGAGCCAGATGGAAGACAAAATAATCATCATTTCTATGGAGAACAAAAGAGCTTAGATGGAAGACAAGAATAATCATCATTTCTGTGGAGTAACAAAGAGCTTAGATGGAAGACAAGAATAATCATCATTTCTATCGAGTAACAAAGAGCAGATGGAAGACAAGAATCATCATTTCTACCGAGTAACAAAGAGCTTCGATGGAAGACAAGAATAATCATCATTTCTATCGAGAAACAAAGAGCTTAGGATGGAAGACAAGAAATAATCATCATTTTTACTGAGAAACAAAGAGCTTCGATGGAAGACAAGAATAATCATCATTTTCTAACAAAGAGCTCGAGAAGACAAGAATAATCATCACAAGTAACAAAGAACTTAGATTGAAAGACAAGAATAATCATCATTTCTATCGAGTAACAAAGAGCTTCGATGGAAGACAAGAATAATCATCATTTCATCGAGTAACAAAGAGCTTCGATGGAAGACAAGAATAATCATCATTTCTATCGAGTAACAAAGAGAAGAATAATCATCTTAGATGGAAGACAAGAAGATTCATCATTTCTATCGAGTAACAAAGAGCTTGATGGAAGACAAGAATAATCATCATTTCTACCGAGTAACAAAGAGCTTCGATGAAGACAAGAATAATCATCATTTTCTATCGAGTAAAAAGAAATTATGATGGAAGACAAGAATAATCATCATTTCTATCGAGTAACAAAAGAGCTTAGATGGAAGACAAGAAATAACAATCATCATTTCTATCCAGTAACAAAGAGCTTGATGAAGACAAGAATAATCATCATTTCTATCGAGAACAAAGAGCTTCGATGAAGACAAGAATAATCATCATTTCATCGAGTAACAAAGAGCTTAGATGGAAGAAAGAATAATCATCATTTCTATCGAGTAACAAAAGAACTTGATGGAAGACAAGAATAATCATCATTTCATCGAGTAACAAAGAGCTTAGATGAAGACAAGAATAATCATCATTTCTACCGAGTAACAGAACTTAGATGAAGACAAGAATAATCATCATTTCTATCGAGTAACAAAGAGCTTAGATGGAAGACAAGAATAATCATCATTTCTACGAGAAACAAAGAGCTTCGATGGAAGACAAGAATAATCATCATTTCTTATGGAGTAACAAAGAGCTTAGATGGAAGACAAGAATAATCATCATTTATCGAGTAACAAAGAGCTTAGATGGAAGACAAGAATAATCATCATTTCTATCGAGTAACAAAAGAGCTTCGATGGAAGACAGAATAATCATCACTTACCGAGTAACAAGAGCTTCGATGGAAGACAAGAAAAATCATCATTTCTACCGAGTAACAAAGAGCTTCGATGGAAGACAAGAAGAATCATCATTCTATCGAGTAACAAAGAACTTCGATGGAAGACAAGAATAATCATCATTTTCTACTGAGTGACAAAAGAGGATGGAAGACTTCCGAAGACAAGAATAATCATCATTCTATCGATAACAAAGAGCTTCGATGGAAGACAAGAAAATCATCATTTCTATCGAGTAACAAAGAGCTTAGAAGACAAGATGAAAGACAAGAAGAATAATCATCATTTCTATCGAGTAACAAAGAGCTTAGATGGAAGACAAGAATAATCATCATTTCCAATGAGTGAACAAAGAACTTCCATGGAAGACAAGAATAATCATCATTTCTACCAGATATAAAAGAGTTCGGAAAAAGAATAATCATCATTTCTACCGGTAACAAAAACTTCGAAGACAAGAATAATCATCATTTCTATCCGAGTAACCAAAAAACTTCGATGAAGACAAAATAATCATCATTTCTATCGAGTAACAAAAGAGCTTAGATGGAAGACCAAGAATAATCATCATTTTCTATCGAGTAACAAAGAGCCTCGATGGAATACAGAATAATCATCATTTCTACCGAGTAATAAAAAAGAGCTTCGATGGAAGACAAGAATAAATCATCATTTCTACCAGAGTAACAAAGATATTTCGATGAAGACAAGAATAATCATCATTTCTATCGAGTAACAAAGAGCGATGGAAGACAAGAAAATCATCATTTCTATCGAGTAACAAAGAGCTTAGATGGAAGACAAGAAAATCATCCATTTCTATCGAGTAACAAAGAGCTTCGATGGAAGAAAGAATAATCATCATTTCTATCGAGTAACAAAGAGCTTCGATGGAACAGACAAGAATAATCATCATTTCTACCGAGTAGCAAAGAGCTTCGATGGAAGACAAGAATAATCATCATTTCTATCAAGAGCCTGATGGAAGACAAGAATAACCACCATTTCTACTAACAAAAGAACTTCGATGGAAGACAAGAATAATCATCATTTCTATCGAGAACAAAGAGCTTCGATGGAAGACAAAATAATCATCATTTTCTATCGAGTAACAAAGAGCTTGATGGAAGACAAGAATAATCATCATTTATCGAGTAACAAAGAGCTTCGATGGAAGACAAGAATAATCATCATTTCTACTGAGTAACAAAGAGCTTGATGGAAGACAAGAAATCATCATTTCTATCGAGTAACAAAGAGCTTAGATGAAGACAAGAATAATCATCATTTCTATCGAGAAACAAAGAGCCTTCGATGGAAGACAAGAATAATCATCATTTTCTATCGAGTAACAAAGAGCTGATGCAAGACAAGAATAATCATCATTTCTATCGAGAACAAAGAGCTTAGATGGAAGACAAGAATAATCATCATTTCTATCGAGGCAAATAATCATCAAGGAGAACTATGGAAGACAAGAATAATCATCATTTCATCGAGTAACAAAGAGCTTAGATGGAAGACAAGAATAATCATCATTTCTATCGAGTAACAAAGAGCTTCGATGGAAGACAAGAATAAATAATCATTTCTATCGAGGTAACAAAGAGCTTTTGATGGAAGACAAGAATAATCATCATTTCTACCGAGTAACAAAAAGAACTTCGATGAAGACAAGAATAATCATCATTTCTACCGAGTAACAAAGAGCTTCGATGAAGACAAGAATAATCATCATTTCTATCGAGAAACAAAGAGCTTCGATGGAAGACAAGAATAATCATAATTTCTATGGAGTAACAAAAGAGCTTCGATGGAAGACAAGAATAATCATCATTTCATCGAGTAACAAAGAGCTTAGATGGAAGACAAGAATAATCATCATTTCTATCGAGTAAATGAGTAACAAAATAACTACTTCGATGGAAGACAAGAATAATCATCATTTCTATCGAGTAACAAAGAGCTTCGATGGAAGACAAGAATAATCATCATTTCTATCGAGTAACAAAGAGCTTCGATGGAAGACAAGAATAATCATCATTTCTACCGAGTAAAGAGCTTAGAGGAAAAGAATAATCTCATACTGAGTAATAGAATGGAGGGCAAGAATAATCATCATTTCTACCGAGTAACAAAGAGCTTCGATGGAAGACAAGAATAATCATCATTTCTATCGAGTAAACAAAAGGCTAGATGGAAGACAAGAATAATCATCATTTCTTTCCGAGTAACAAAGAACTTCGATGGAAGACAAAGATAATCATCATTTTCTACCGAGTAACAAAAGAGCTTAGATGGAAGACAAGAATAATCATCATTTCTACCGAGTAACAAAGAGCTTGATGGAAGACAAGAATAATCATCATTTTTACCGGTAACAAAAGAGCTTCGATGGAAGACAAGAATAATCATCCGCTCTACCGAGTAACAAGAGCTGAAAGAGCATCATTTTATGCGAAGACAAGAATAATCATCATTTCTACCAGATAACAAAAGAGCTTAGATGAAGACAAGAATAATCATCATTTCACCGAGTAACAAAGAGCTTCAGTGAAGACAAGAATAATCATCATTTTACCGAGTAACAAAAGAATTTCGATGGAAGACAAGAATAATCATCATTTCACCGAGTAACAAAGAGCTTCGATGGAAGACAAGAATAATCATCATTTCTACCGAGTAACAAAGAGCTTCGATGGAAGACAAGAATAATCATCATTTCTACCGGTAACAAAGAGCTTCGATGGAAGACAAGAATAATCATCATTTCTACCGAGTAACAAAGAGCTTCGATGGAAGACAAGAATAATCATCATTTCTACCGAGTAACAAAGAGCTTCGATGGAAGACAAAGAATAATCATCATTTTACCGAGTAAAAAGAGCTCAAAGACAAAAGAATAATCTTCTACCAAGATGAAGGAGACAAGAATAATCATCATTTCTACCGAGTAACAAAGAGCTTCGATGGAAGACAAGAATAATCATCATTTCTATCGAGTAACAAGAGCTTCGATGGAAGACAAGAATAATCATCATTTTTCTATGAAGAGTAATCATCATTTTATAAGAGCTTCGATGGAAGACAAGAATAATCATCATTTCTGTCGATAACAAAGAGCTTCGATGGAAGACAAGAATAATCATCATTTCTATCAGGTATCGAGTAACAAAGAATCATCATTCTATCGGAAGACAAGAATAATCATCATTTCTATCGAGTAACAAAGAGCTTGATGGAAGACAAGAATAATCATCATTTCTACCGAGTAACAAAAAAGCTTCGATGGAAGACAAGAATAATCATCATTTCTATAACGAGTAATCAAAGAGCTAAAGCACCTAGATGGAAGACAAGAATAATCATCATTTTATAAAGTAACAAAGAGCTTCGATGGAAGAACAAGAATAAATCATTTCTATCGGTAACAAAAGAGCTTGATGGAAGACAAGAATAATCATCATTTCTATCCAGTAACAAAAGAGCTTTGATGGAAGACAAGAATAATCATCATTTCTACCGAGTAACAAAAGAACTTCGATGGAAGACAAGAATAATCATCATTTCTATCGAGTAACAAAGAGCTTCGATGGAAGACAAGAATAATCATCATTTCTATCGAGAAACAAAGAGCTTGATGGAAGACAAGAATAATCATCATTTCTATCGAGTAACAAAGAGCTTCGATGGAAGACAAGAATAATCATCATTTCTATGGGACAAGAATAACAAAGGCTTAGATGGAAGACAAGAATAATCATCATTTCTACTGAGGAATGGAAGACAAGAATAATCATCATTTCTATCGAGTAACAAAGAGCTTCGATGGAAGACAAGAATAATCATCATTTCTATCGAGTAACAAAGAGCTTCGATGGAAGACAAGAATAATCATCATTTCTATCGAGTAACAAAAGAGCTTCGATGGAAGACAAGAAGATTCATCATTTCTATCGAGTAACAAGAGCTTCGATGGAAGACAAGAATAATCATCATTTCTACCGAGTAACGAGCTTCGATGGAAGACAAGAATAATCATCATTTCTATCGAGTAACAAAGAACTTCGATGGAAGACAAGAATAATCATCATTTCTATCGAGTAACAAAGAGCTTAGATGGAAGACAAGAATAATCATCATTTCTATCGAGTAACAAAAAGCTTAACTGATGAAGACAAGAATAATCATCATTTCTATCGAGTAACAAAGAGCTTGATGAAAGAATAAGAAAGAATCATCATTTCTATCGAGTAACAAAGAGCTTCGATGGAAGACAAGAATAATCATCATTTTATCGAGTAACAAAGAGCTTCGATGGAAGACAAGAATAATCATCATTTTCTATCAGAATGATGGAAGACAAGAATAATCATCATTTTATCGAGTAACAAATTCATCATTCCTATCGAGTAACAAAGAACTTCGATGGAAGACAAGAATAATCATCATTTCTATCGAGTAACAAAGAGCTTAGATGGAAGACAAGAATAATCATCATTTCTATCGAGAAACAAAAAGAGCTTAGATGGAAGACAAGAATAATCATCATTTCTACCGAGTAACAAAGAGCTTCGATGGAAGACAAGAATAATCATCATTTCTATCGAGTAACAAAGAGCTTCGATGGAAGACAAGAATCATCATTTCTATCGAGTAACAAAGAGCTTAGATGGAAGACAAGAATAATCATCATTTCTATCGAGTAACAAAGAGCTTCGATGGAAGACAAGAATAATCATCATTTCTATCGAGTAACAAAGAGCTTCGATGGAAGACAAGAATAATCATCATTTATCGAGTAACAAAGAGCTTGATGGAAGACAAGAATAATCATCATTTCTACCGAGAAACAAAGAGCTTCGATGGAAGACAAGAATAATCATTTTTCTACCGAGTAACAAAGAGCTTCGATGGAAGACAAGAATAATCATCATTTCTATCGAGCTAACAAAGAATAACTTCGATGGAAGACAAGAAAATCATCATTTTCTATCAGAATAACAAAACTTCGATGGAAGACAAGAATAATCATCATTTCTATCGAGTAACAAAAAAGCTTGATGGAAGACAAGAATAATCATCATTTCTATCGAGTAACAAAAGAGCTTCGATGGAAGACAAGAATAATCATCATTTCTATCGATCATTTCAAAAAAGAGCTTGAACAAGAATAATCATCATTTCTATCGAGCAAAAAAGGCTTCGATGGAAGACAAGAATAATCATCATTTCTATCGAGTAACAAAGAGCTTCGATGGAAGACAAGAATAATCATCATTTCTATCGAGTAACAAAGAGCTTCGATGGAAGACAAGAATAATCATCATTTCTATCGAGTAACAAAGAGCTTCGATGGAAGACAAGAATAATCATCATTTCTATCGAGTAACAAAGAGAGCTTCGATGGAAGACAAGAATAATCATCATTTCTATCGAGTAACAAAGAGCTTGATGGAAGACAAGAATAATCATCATTTCTATCGAGTAACAAAGAGCTTCGATGGAAGACAAGAATAATCAAGAATAATCATAATTTCTATCAAGTAACAAAAGAGCTTAGATGGAAGACAAGAATAATCATCATTTCCTACCAGTAACAAAGAGCTTCGATGGAAGACAAGAATAATCATCATTTTTTCTATCGAGTAACAAAGAGCTTCGATGGAAGACAAGAATAATCATCATTTCTACCGAGTAACAAAGAGCTTAGATGGAAGACAAGAATAATCATCATTTCTACCGAGTAACAAAAGAGCTTCGATGGAAGACAAGAATAATCATCATTTCTACCGAGTAACAAAGAGCTTCGATGGAAGACAAGAATAATCATCATTTCTACCGAGTAACAAAAAAGAGCTTCTGGAAGACAAGAATAATCATCATTTCTACCGAGTAACAAAGAGCTTCGAT